TGAAAAAGAATCTATTGTTCATACAGATTGTTGGAAAGGTTATCTGAATATCGATGAACTAGGATTCAAACATAAAACAATTAACCATTCAGAAAATTTTGTGGATCCCAAAACAGGTGCATATATGAATACTATAGAATGATTATGGAATGGTATCAAGTTACAGATTGCACCACAAAATCGAAACAAAGACTTGATTGAATCACACTTATTTGAATTTATTTGGCGCAAAGTAAACAAAAACAGACTTTGGGAAGCATTTATCGAAGCACTACATTCCACAGCATATTACCAATCTGATAATATCACATTGTGACTATTGCATACATTAGTACATGCTAAACTATAGTTCAGCCGTTAACACTATATACTAACAGAAAGAATTTTCCTAACTCTAACTTTAACTCTAACTTTAACTAGCATAACTTACTAATAGATTATGATATTCATCATTAACTAACCAACCCACATTTCTGCATTTATAATGCTTGTCTTTCAATAAAATATTTAACTTTGGATTATTTGAAATTATTTTATATAGTGACTATCAATATCAAAGTGAACTATTATCAAACTTAGTATCTATAGTCATGAAACATTGAATTGTTATATCTTTAGACTACTTTGAACTATATAAATTAGTTATCTAGGTAATATATTCAAATCAGCTAATTAAACAAATGCCTTTCTATGAACCTTATATAAGTGTCACTAAAAGAAAGCCAGAAATTGGGCTTTTAATTATCATTAGTGCTAGACACTATCTATTTAATTTGCTAGGAATAGTGTCTAGCACCAAAGATAATTAAAAGCCTGATTTCTGGCATTCTTTTAGTGACATTCATATGCAAAGTAAATTTAGCACAAGATATAATCAAAACAATATAATGGTATAATTTACTAAAACAATAACAATAAAAAGCATTAAATAATCAAAGCATATAAGTTAATTTTTATAAATAATAAACAAAAGCAAGTTACAATGCAAGACATATAGATCAATTTGCATAAATAATAAACAAAAAGCAAGCTAATTAGCACTTATTATAGCTCCTAAAATTGTGCCCAGATTCACCACATGCTTGAAAGATATATTTGTGCTTGCTTTCATTATTATATGTTTGTATTATTGAAGATTCAGTTGAAAGATCTTTATTCATCTTATTCAACTCTTTAATATTTATAAGTTCTAAGAAAACTTTTAATATAGTTGCATTATTTGATTGTTCAGTTGATCATATGCATAAATTAGGATTAGGTAAATTAAGTACACTATTGTTAGTTCTATCATGTTGTACATTGCTTTCTGATGATGCTTTGATTTGTTTGTTTGATGGACATCTATGATGCTTATTAACTATAGAATCTGATATTTGCACTTGCATATTTTCTTTATTTGCACTTTCAATACTGCTTTTCTTACGATCAATAAATTCATCTTCACACTTCAAATCAAGAGCCATATTAAGTGCCTTCTTAACTTTTCTGAAGCCATGTGAATATTTAGCTTTTCTTTGAACACATCATTGTATTTCAGCAGTAAATACATCTGGTGCTTTAATCTGATTAAAAATATAAAAATCATTTATAATACAGTCATTATTATCAATTTGCTGAAATTGCATGATTACTCCTACTAATTCATCTTGCGAGTTTAAATGAATATTATCCTGAAAAGTTTCTATGTACCATCACTTTAAAATTAGATTGATATTGAATTTTGCAGTTTTTGAATTTATCATTACATGAAAAAAATGTGAACACACAATACCATGATTAATAACTGC